TAGGCAGCTGATTCCTTTGTGTATTGTCTTGTTTTATATCCCATATTATTCAATATATATCCTAATCATAGAATTATCAAATGGGTTTTTATACAGGGTTGGGTTGGAAGGGACCTCAAAGATTATACATTTCCAACCCTTCTACCATGTACAGGGATACTTTTCACTAAACCAGGTTGCCCACCCACTCAAGTGGTTTGGGAAGAGAGGTTGTCATTGGAGACTGAGACAAAAAAATCTGTACCTCAGCCTTCTCCTCATCTTTTGTTACCAGCTTTCCCGCATTGTTTATCAAGTGGGTAAACCTTCTTTAATCTTCCTTTTCTGGTTAACATACCTGTAGAAGTCCTTCCTGTTATTTGTTGCACCCCTTGCAAGGTTCAATTCAAGCTTCACCTTAACCTTTCTCACCCCATCCCTTCACAACCAAACTTCATCTTTTTCCTCTTCCAGGGTACCTGTCCTAGTTTCTACTGTCTGTGCACTTGCTTCTTGCATTTCTGTTTGACCATCAGATCCCTGCTTGGTTATGCTGGTTTGTTTTCTTCCTTGTCTGATCTGCTCCTGGCAGTTGTTAGCTCTTGCAGTCTATGCAAGACTTCTTTAAAAATCTGCCAGCTCTGTTACACCCCCTTGTCACTGAGAGCAGTCTGGCAAGGGATCCTATTGACTATCTCCTTGAAGAGCTGGAAGTCTGTTTTGCTAAAGTTCAGGGGTCTAATCTTACTCTTTACCTGACCCGTGCTCCTCACAACTGTGAATTCCACTGGCATGTGATCATTGCAGCCCAGGCTGCCCCCAGTTTTGGCATGCCAAGATGGCTCTCAAACAGGTCTCTCATGTTTGTGACCCACAGATTGCACCCCATCTGGCAGGGCTATCTATTACCTGACTCAGGAAGTTCCACATTTCAGGAGCTTCCTGAGTTGCCTAAAGCTCGCTGTGCTTCTTTCCCAGCAGATGTCAAGGTGGTTGAAGTCCCTCAGCAGCATGAGGGTCTGAGAGCACAATGCCTCCTGTAGCTGGGACAAGAAGGTTGGTGGGTAGGCTCCCCTTGATCAGGCATGACCTTTTTTGCACAATATTTTAGCAAAGTCTTTTATTGACAAGGAAAAAAAGCAGTGTAAGAGTATTTTAACAAGTGTTTACAGAAAATAACCTCTAAATGTAAATATGTGAATTTGGAATTAAAACCTGGTTTTAAGAGTGAAAATAATTTAGCTGTAATTCAACCAGAAGATATACAAGCTTCTCCTTTCCAAGCAAAGGAATTGAAACTGCATACTAATAGCAGTGCACTGAAATTTACAGTTTTTCACCTACTTTGTAATCAAACTCTCTTTGAACCCTAATTGTAGCATGTTTGATGTAGGCATGGATTTTGTTGAAACTGTATGTACAGCCAGTGCAAACAGTCCAATAATCCTGGGCCTTTATTTGGCTCCATAACCATTTTAATGGCTTTTTCCACATTTATTGCTGGCAACAGCATATCTTCACAGAAGCTGAGTTGTGCTTTTTGTGTTGGTTTTGTTCTTGATTTACAGGCAAGGTCTTTAATTGAACTCTTAAGAACACACCATGCATTCAGAACCTTTGCAAATAGAAGATGCATTCAAGAAGTTGTTAATATAGTCTGCATGGTGGAAAATGGGTGATCATTTTCTGGCATGAAAATATATGAAAATAATCAGGATATTGGCAATTCCTCTGTGATACGTTCCGGTAATTCAAGCACCAAGAAAATTAAGAATGTCTTGCTGTCTCAGAACAAGGTCCTTTGATTTCCTTTTTCTTTAAGTATTCAGGAGTTTGCCTCATTTGTGTCACAGATATATTTCATCTTTCCATACCAGAACATATTCATGTGGTTTTCCTGAAAGTGTGCCAAAAACACAGACTCTGACACAGATTTCCAGCATACTGCAGGAAAATGAGAATGGGACATGTGTGAAAAACAGAAAAAATATCCTTCTTGTATTTTCCAAGTTGCACTACAAACTAGATGATAAACAGAATGTTTTTTAATGTTTTTTTTTAATGGAAAAGATAATGCATTATAAAGAAAAAAATCTGGGTAATACAAATATTTTAAAGCAATATAAATAAAGTCAAAGGGATGTCATAAAAAGGACACTATTAAAACTACAGAATTCACAGAGAACATTTTGCTATAAATAGTTACTTTATTGCATATAGATCTAAACTGCAAATTGGTAGATGCAAGTGTATCTTTTCACATTCAGCATTTTGCAATTTTTCACTATCAACACCAGATAAGCCTCACCAGGGAAGGAGTGGTTTGCAGAATTAAGGATGTAGTCCTCCGTAGTAAAATGCTGAAGGAAATTTTGGGTCACTAGTACTTTTATATAATCGAGGTAGTTGCTTGGTTGTGATGGTTCTTTTGCTCATTCTTACAGCACAGGTGCAATTCTACAGATAAATGGGCATAAGCATTTAGATTCAATATGAAGCATGCAGTAATGTTTGTATCAGCATTTTGGGGCTTCTCACCAAATCTTAACCTTTTTGTACATATAACATAGGTTAAGCTCACTTAATTCAAGTTGTAAACCTATATTTTAAAAATATAATTTTAAAATATGACTGCAAAATTTAGATTTGATCCCATTTTTTAAGATTCAGACTTTGCTTACAAAATCACACAATCTACCTTCCCTCCCCCTCCTGCCCCACCATACCTTTTACCTGCAGAAAAATCCTGCTTTCTTTTTGCAGGAGATAGAGAAAGGAAGTGAATTAAAGTGTCAGGAGTGAAGCACCTCATATACAGAGCCTTCTGCATAATTTGTTATCAAGAAGAAGAAACACTGGGAAAGGAGCCAGAAGTGTTGAAATTAACAAAATAAGGTCTTTTGACTAAGGGAGTTACACATTTCCCTGGAGAATGGGTTTCTATCACTGCTGCTGCCAAAAGATTGCTGAGTAATGTTTATATGTAAGCACTAAGGCTCAGATGAGACTTAGGTATTCCTGCTGACACTAAAAGGGTTTAAATTAGGCATGTGGCTTCAGAGAAAAAAATCTAAGCTAGATCCCCATCTTTACTCCAAGGTCTGTAAAATGGGAAAATGGGGAGCCTGTGGGAGCTGGGAGCAGGTGTCACAACACCAGGCACACAGAATGACACATCTTCCCCCAGAACTCAAATCTGACTTTCAGTTGTTTTGTCCTCTTTTTCTCCAACTTCCTTTCCTCTTTTTTTTTTTTTTTTTTTTTTTTTTTTTTTTTTTTTTTTTTTTGGCATTTCATGTCTTCAATTTCTTCTCCTGTCTCTTTGTTTCTCTTCCTTCCCTGACTGACCTTACCCTCATCCCAGCATCCCAGGTGTGTTTATCTGGTCAATTCTAGGTTCCAGACCAACATCTTTCCTTTTTTACATTTCATCCAGTAATTCATAGGTCCAAACTTCCTTCTTGGACAGCTACTACCCAGGCATCAATTTGCTGCTAAAACTTTTCCAGCCTCTGCTTGCTTCAGCTTCTGCAACATGCATTTCCCTCTCTATGTTGTCTGTACCTAACTTAGAGGGGACCTTAGAAGGAAAAAAGGACATGCTCTGAGTTCTCATGGACAAATATTTCTTTTTAAGTATTTGGAAATACTGGGGAAATTTTTGGTAGTATTTTAGACTTTAATTTTCAGCAGCTTGAAATTCCCATCTCTGTGACCTTAACTTTTTTTTCAATTTCTTCAGGATTATGTTGGATTTGGTGGATTTGGGAGGAGAAGGATGCGTTAGTGTTTTCACAGAACGAGGGATTTGTTCATTGTGAGCATACAATGGAATGGGAGCCACAAACAAACAGAAAGCAAACTCTTCAACTCCTGCTGCAGTTTTTCTAAAACAGGCATGTCATGATGAAAAAATTCCATGTATTCTCACCCAATAAATGTGTGTTTCTCTGCCTATGATTTTAAATCATGCTTATTGTCAAGCAACCATAGAGTCAACACCTACATGAGGCCCATAGTGACAGGGTTCAGGGAAATGCATACCTGAGAAAATTTATGTAGTTAGGCATCAGTAATTCCAAAGCTTCACTGCAGTTACCTACAGTAACTAACATTGTCTACTTCACTAACATGAGTATGGAACAAGATAATGCAAGTAGAACAAGATATGTGATTATCATACACAGTAAGTTCCAAAATCAACATGTCATATGTTTTGTTGTCATGTTTTCACAGCTCAGTGCTCATGGCAAAGGAATCAGCCTTCCACAAAATGTCTGAGCTCAGGAGAAAGTCGGAAAGGGCAGTATATTCCTGTCACAGAGTAGCAAACCACACTGCTGTAATTATAAGGAAAAAAACAGGCAATCCTCTGCTGTGTCCCTTGCCTCAACTGCTTCTAAGTTAGGTTGAGGTAAGAAAGCTACAAGATGGGACCTGCCCAGTACTGAACATTATTTCTAGGAGCATGCTTTCCTTATTCTTTCATCCTCGGTTGACCTGAAAACATACTGCAATAAAGTCTTGCTTCTGGGTGTTCAGCTCAAAGTGAGCTTCTAGCATTACTTTATACATTGCAAATTAGATTACAGGAAATGTAAATTATTTCTGCAGCCTGTTCTTTTAAGTGCTCTCAAAAAAGAAATCGTTCAATGTATATTAGTTCAACATCTGGCATGTTTGATCTTTCTGAGAAATCACCATGTAAAGCAACATGCTATAGAACCTTGCTATTTCTTATCTTTCACTGACTACCTGCTGCTGGGAACTATTGGAAGCACCATTGCAAAAGGGATCAAATGATATTTCATATGTATAGAACTGGATGATTAAATTAATGTAATTCTGTTCTTCATGTGTGAAAACTGGATTGCCCTGCAATTCAGAGATGGAAACAGAATGATAAAGAAATCTCAGTTAACTGAGATGTAAGAAATTTACAATACAAAGCTGGCATGAAAACCATTTTGTCTTATTTCAATAGACAGTACATGATGCCTTTCTAAAGACCAATTGCATTTTCAATTTTGGAATTAATTTACAGAGTACATTCATTAAATAAACCACATGTTTCTTACTGCACCATGAAGTAATTAGTTGTGGAAAACTCAGTTGTGCCAGCCCTGAACTACATTTATAAACACTGAAAATGCACCCATGTACTCAAGGTACCCATCTAAACAAAAGAAAACAAATTGTTCAGTTGTGTAAATAATTCAGGAAAGAAATTTCTAATAGATATTCAGACTGATGGCCTTTTCAAGGGAGACATTATGCACTGGCACTGTGCCAAAGAAATGTTAGATGCATAATATGAAAATTATTATTTTAATGCAAAAGACCCCACTTTAACCTGAGTCCTTGAAAAATGATGCTTTTTTCTTGATTCTTTTATAGCTATTTACCTGCTCCAGAAAAGCAGCCAGGTTTCAAGCTGTGCACAAGAACAGAAATTATTAACTTTCTGCTTGTGATTATTCTAAGTTCTGATATTTTTGCTATAGGGCTTAGAAAGCACAGTCATATCTCTTCTATTCTGTGGCGGTTATACATGAGAGCAGTGCAGAGACAATTAAATTTTTAGATCGTCTTAGGGCTGCAAGAATGCAGGGTAACAAGAATGTCATCAATTAACATTCCAGGGAGATTATCAGTTTGGAAATCAAAAGAGTAATAATAAATACATAAACATATATATATATATATATGGACGTAAAATGTTGAGGTACAGCTTGATCTTAAGGTGTGAAATTAGATTTGCAGACAGATGTGCAAACTCCATAGCATTGTCTGTTCTCTGCTTCAGCAACGCAAAGTGTTCCAAAAAATTTGGCTCCTCATCACTGTTTGTCTGCCTTATGTTGCATTTTATCTCTGAAAAGGAAAAGAGAAATAAATTAGTAATTTTGTAAAAAGAGTGCACATCTGCCCAAGGAATAGGCACTCTGTGTGTTCCCAAGTTATGCTGGTAATTTCGATAAACTGCATTTGGAAAAACACAGCAATTAGTCTTTAAGGTTCATGTCTGCAAGTCATATGGTTTTAGCATATTTTTAGAGGTATTTTAAAAAAGATAAAAATAACAACTCAGCTATTTCTGGTAATATTATTTGAAAAAATACTTTTGTGTTGTTAACCTAGTAGGGACACTCTGTTATAGTGCTTGAATTTTATTTTACCATGAGGCCCATCAGTGCCTGTGGAATGATGGCCAGAGAGTCCAGCAGCATTAATTGATTTGGTGGACTGTCCCTATTCAGTGCTTAATCTCTCAGTGGATGCTTCTTGGACAATAGCTCCAGATGATGATAAAACTTTTGATTTGAAAGCAGCAATTCTACGTGACATAAAAGAAATCCTCCCTTCTGATTGAATCAGTGAGATCTGTGTTTAGTGACAGCTTGTCTCACCTGGCAGTTTCTCCTTGAATATCTTGCTGGTCCCTCCCAGAAAACATAGAAATATTTTGGCAAGGGCATGGGACTGAAGAGAGGGTTCTTTGTTCTCCGAGATTGCGTATGGCTTGACAAGAAAGATTTAAAGATGTCTGTAGGTCACTGAAGGTTAGAATTTCCTGACATTATTACTTTGACAAATGAAGAGAAAACAAACACCCTAACCATAAGAACAGAATGTCAGGATCATTGCAAATCCAGAAGCAGGGAACACTAACAAACAACTGAAGGTAAGGTTTCTGTGGCATCCAAAGCAACATCCGACTGAGGATCCGGATGAAACTTGCTCCGGAGATTTATGTAGGACAAAGAATTTTTCTCTTCTTTCTTTGGGCACCTGATGTAAAATCCAGATGGCTGACTCCTGGTATTGCATACAGTGGCTGACCACTAATTCTTTGTGCAAATATTTCCCTCAGCCAAAAGCAAGCCCACTTTAGCCCATTATGGAAGGCAGTTAGAGAAAGTAAGCAGCCATGCTACTGGTTCATTCATTCACTTACCCATCTAAGCAAGTTAAGAAAACAAACTCATCAAATTTTCCTCTATCTAATCAATGCAAGTCAATAAAATGGTTTTAAATAAGATAAAAATTATGTCTATATTAAATACAACACTTTAAAATACTTTATTTTTTCTAGTTTCTTTGGATTTCTTGGTGTTGGTTTGTGATGGGATTATTTTCCCCCAAAAAAGGATGTCACACAGACTGTACTCTGCATGAAATTATTAGATGGAGTTACTATTCTTTTCTGAAATCCATAAAAACAACTCTCCTTTAAGGAGATAATAGTCTTCATTTTAGTCTAGTATAGTTTATTGTAAAATAATTATAAGATGTACATTTTTTAACTTGCCACTTTTCATCATGAGAACAAGGACTAGATATAGGTCCTGTTCCTATCTCAGGATTGTTTAGCCCACATGAGAGCCACTGTCTAAATAATGCATTTGGGAATGCTGTTTAAAAAGTCTAGTAAGGATAACAAAGTTATGGGACTATTAGGTCACAGCTAAATAGATTAAAAAATATCCATTGGCACATGTACTGAGAACTGCAGCTTGTGACCAGCTTAGGAAAGTACTGTTGTATCAGTTATAGCCATTCCATACTCTTTACAAATATAAGGGTTTTAAACCACATGGGGGGTTTTTATGGTTTTTGGTTGGTTGGTTGGCTTCTTTTGTGTGGTTGATTGTTTTGGTTTGGGGTTTGTATTTCAGGAGGCTTCATTTCTAAAGTATTCACCTAATGTTAGATAAAGTTGAAAGAAGTCATCTGTAGAAAAAAAACAAACCTCTGATCACAACAATTCAATAGAAATTTCTTAAAGATGTGGCTGGCAGTCACTCTCATGGTTCTCTCCATTCTGTCTCACCAGCTCTGCTTTGGGCTGTCTCCATAACTAATGTGAGCATTTTATGCTAACACTGAATGGAAACACTGCCAGTATATCCCACTGTTCTGTGAGCTGGATCAATTTGTTCACTTATTACAGGAGATTGGTGTAATAATTAAATCCAAGAAGGGAAAAATCTACTATTTTCAGTGTAAAACGTTCATTTATTCAGGACCAAACATCTTATATTTATAATTTCTTCCATTCAAATTATAAATCTACAAGTTAAAATGAAAAGGTAAAAATAAAAATTTCAGCAGGACTAAATCTAAATATTTTTGAACAATTTACTTAAGACAGAAAAAGCTCAAACTCATTCATTCATTCTTACTTGGCAGGAAACAAAATACAGAAGGATCAAGATTGCCTGGTACTGCAGTCCAATATTTCACACAATACTGTGTATCAAGGAGACTGTCAGGAGGGTTGTTTAGTCTTTGGTATGTTGTGGTTTTGACACAGGATGGGATTTTCTTCTGTGACTGTGACTAGGCGTATCTTTGGCTAACTTTGTTTTCCTTACCAAACAACTGTGAGTATCACCAACTTCAAATCTAGGAGATCTTCACTTTTCCAGCTGCTTTGTGCCTAGGCACTATCAAATAATCTGTAAGGATCAGAAGACAAAGATGTGAGTCATCAGAAGCAGAAAGAACACAAGCAGTGTGCCATCCTGGGAAACAGATTTTTCTGGGCCCTTGACATTAATAGCTGCAGCTGTCAGCCTCGTTGCTGGCCCTTGTGTTTCAGTGATCCTTGGAAAGTGAGTGGTGACTCACTTCCTCTGGTCCCGATGCTTGTGCTGAGCAGGGAGGTGTCACTCTCTGCCTGGTGAACATGCTTGCACTTGTGATGTCTGGTCATGCTTGTCACTGAGGAATTTGTGGTCATGAATCCTAGGACAATGTTTGCAAATCATATGCACTTCAGAGCTACCATTCTCTGGCATTGCTTTCATGTCTTAGTTATGGACTGATGGTTAGTTAGACCCTATCTTACTGGAAAATTTTCAATCTTTCCCCTTACTTGACTCTCTATTTCACTAGAAAAAATAGAAACCACATCAAGAAGCTTCATTTTTCCTTTCCTAAACAAAATTAGGCTGCCAATGACTCACGATCTCAAAGAGAGGCATAGTGGTCCAAAGTTGCTGTTTGTTTTTTTTATCTTGTGATGCTAAACTCAAGGGCACAGTATTGCAGGAATACAATCTGCTTCAAGTTTAAGCATGAACAACAGTTTTCAGTTCAAGCAATACTTCTTCAGAACACTAAGCTCACTAAAATAATATTTTAACAGTTGTCCAAAATGAAATACTGATTCATAAAGTTTTCCAGCTCAATTTGTTATTGGCCAAGCAGATACATTTCATATAATCATAGATTCAGAAAATCAGTATAGTTTGGGTTGGAAACGACCTTTAAAGGCTGTCTAGTCCAACTCCCCTGCAATGAACAAGGACACCTTCATTTGGATCAAGTTGCTTAGAGACCCATCCAACCTGACCTTGAATGATTCCAGGGATGAATCCACCACCTCTCTGGGAAATATGTTCCAGTATTTTAACACCCTCATGGTAAAAATTTCTTCCTTTTATCTAGTCTGAATATACTGTCTTTTAGTTTAAAACCATAATTCCTTCTCCTAAACCAACAGGCCCAGCTAAAAAGTCTGTCCCCATCTTTCTTATAGGTGTCCTTTAATACCGAAAGGCCACCATAAGGTGTTCCTGAAGCCTTCTCTTCTTCAAGATAAGTGACTCCAATTCTCTCAGCCTTTCCTTTTAGAAGAGGTGTTCCAGCCCTCTGATCATCTTCATGGCCATCCTCTGGAGTCACTCCAGCAGCTCCATGTCCTTCCTGTGCTGGCACCCCAGAGCTTATGCAGCCCTGCAGTGGGGTCTCAGCAGAGCAGAGCAGAGGGGCAGAATCCCCTCCCTGGCCCTGCTGCCCACGCTGCTCTGGATGCAGCCCAGGACACGTTTGGCTCTCTGGGCTGGGAGTGCCCATGGCTGGGTCATGTCCAGCCTCTCACCCACCAGCACCCCCAAGTCCTTCTGGGCAGGGCTGCTCTGGACTTGTTCAGCCCCAGCCTGTGCTGATACTGTGGGTTGCCCTGACCCAACCACAGGACGTTGTCCTTCAGACACATCCTGAGCCACTGATCTCAGACAGGGCTGGCCAGCTGCAAAAGATGGAGCAGAGAGAGCTGTTGCACTCTGGTGCAAATAAAGTATGCACAGTAGATGTGTTTCAAGTGGAATGCAGCAAAATTGAGTAGTCTGGCATTCCCAAATAACATTTTAGTTAAGAATTTTAGCACTTGTAATATGAAACTGAAATTATATCCTTGGCAGAAAACTACTTGGACCCGCAGAACCAGTATCACTTTACAATCTGCCAACAAACGGTTCATTAAACTCAAGAAGTTGACTGATCTCATAGGAAAACATGGATTTTGTACAGCAGCACGACCTTTAGTCAGGCAGGTACTTTGTAAATATTATTTCCATTTATAATTACCTGAAATTATATCTTAATATGATTTGCCATGATTTCAATAAAGAATCCTGATACTTGAAACTATTCCAGTATGTGCAAAACAGGATGCAAGTACAGCACACCTGGGTGCTGGAACAGGCAGCTGTTAAAAGACCATTTTATTGATGTGTTCTGCAGAAAACCTCCAGCTCCAAGGTGAACACATTCTGTGCTGGTAGCCAACATTCCTGAAATACATCACAGTTCACAAGTAAGAGCCTCTCTCACATCCTGTAAGTCTGCAGTGTGGAAAATCATTGCTCCATAACAGAACTTGTTTTCATGACTATACATGAAGAAGTAATTCCAGAAAAGAGAAAAGGCAGTAATATGTATCTGCTGAAAATGCCAGTTACATTTTGTGCAAAATGTACAAACAGCCTTGAAGGATAATTTTGTAAAACATGTGGGCTCCTATAACTCAGTGAATATATATATTTTTTTTTTCTTTAGAAGTAATAATGTTGAAAAAATTTAGGGAAACCTTCCAAATAGATGTCATATGACTGGAAATAGTTAAGTACCACTAGGATTTTTCAGTGTAGCTCTATTGTCATAAGTCAGGTTTTGTCACAATTTTGTCACAATTAAGCAGAAAAGAAGGAATGGGACTGTAGAAAGCTTTGCTGTGCCCAGACAGAGCAGATATCTAAATGATGCCCAGGCAGCAGTCAGTGCTCCCAGACCACAATGCTGTGTGCTACACAAAACTTTGAAGCTTTCAAGACTAAACTCGAAGACTTTGAAACAAGTTCTGAACATATTTAGAAAGCAGTCAATAGCACATACTTTAGATAACCAATAAAGAATGAATTCAAGCATAAATGCACAAAGGTAATCTTAGAACTCAGTCATCTGGATGTTTTAAAAATGCTCCACTCCATTATAGATAAAAGTTTACATATTTAGCATTAAGGGTTGAACATGATGACATCTAAATTTAATTCATTACTAACGATACATTTACAATGTATTTTTTCAGATGTAGTACTCAAGTTAGCTTGTACTATTTTAGGATTTGCAGAATTACAGTTTTGCCTCCATATCTCAGCCTCAATTAAACATCAAAAACTTTTATTTTTTCTAACAGACTAGGTGCTAGTCTGTTAGAAATTATTCAGTTTATTTTCCTTGAAGTTATCTTGCCGTTATTTCTTCTACATCATATAGAAAATTTCTAACACTGTAAATGAAAGAAAACTCCAATCTTCTGTTTCTCACTATACAGTCAATGCAATGTTATCACTGCCTCAGATATCTATCTGGACATTAATGATTTCATTACACATTCTACAGAAATGTTAGAATAACCCTGATGTCCTGATTTAAATTAATTTTCTAAATACATTGACGTTAAAGCTTCTCTGCAACAGTTTTTCTGGAAACCTTCAAATTATATTAAAAATTGTATCTACTTTAAGCTAGGGGTGCTTAAGGTGTGTATTTCAAATATAGATCAAGGTGTTAATGCTCCAGTGCCTCAGAGTGGAGTTCCTCAGTTCTAATCTGTACTATTCATATATTTGACTGTTCCTCTAGAATTAAAGTCAGATAGTTTAAACATTTTTAGAAGATGATTTGAATACATTTCAATTTATATTAATTTGAATAATGTAAAAATTCTAATTAAAATTGTATTTTGTGAACTCCAGGAACCTAAGAGTCAGGACTGTACAGAGAACACACAGAATGACAGAAGTAGTGGTAGTAGTCTAGGAGTCATCTGGAAAGTGAATAAAGGAAAAGTTTTATATACCCTACTCTTCTGGAGATGATGGTATTTATTATGATAAGTAAAAGTAATGCTCTTAATTCTGAAATAAGAGGCATACCTGGAAAGTTAGTCTATTGTTGTCAGCTGAATTCGAAATCCCATCTAGCAAGTCTTGGGCAGTGAAGGAGAATAATCTCTGCTCATATCTGAGGCAAATCAAGCTGTCAAAAGAAAAATCACTCTTCACAACATCTTAGAGAAGGTCTATAGGTTGCTGAGCTTTTGAGGAATGAGTTTCCACATGATCCCAGTGACAGAAGCTTAAGCAGAGTGCAATTACTTGGACAAGGAATTTGTGCATGAGCAAAGGTTATCTTTTATTGACCCCATGACCAACTGTAATATTTTCATTCTGTTGTGCAACTGAAGTGTGCAACTTTTCTCTTAATGCACTTATTGTACCAGGTACTGGTCTTCCATATACTTTACTTTAAATAGAGATATTATAACACAGTTTAAAAAACATTTTTCTTAACATCCTCAACAAACATTTTTTCAAAAGAACCAACTGAAAGACAAGAAATCTCTAAGGCCACATTAGCATAACATTGTCAAGGAATGAAATGGAAATCCTAACCTCTGATTCAACAATGAGAAGAACATCCAGTCATTAGGTATCTCCATCTAAATATTTTCATAATTTTACTTCCTTGTTTTGGAGAGATTTGTTAGTATATGCATTAAAAATAGCAATGAAATTATGTCAGAATTTCTGTACACTATCACCAATTTAGTTTTCAATTAATCGGTGTGATATAGCATATTTTCTAATGACTAGGAAATGTTATTCTTTTCTAGGAATGACTGAACATAGTTTAGAAAAATAAGAAGTATCTGAGAAGAAGATCATAAAAGTAAAATCAACTACTTTTCAGGGATATGAATTCCAGACAGTTCTATAAATTCATTTGTTCAATTTTTGTTTCCCAAAGAGAGTAATTTTCTTCCTTCCCATTCCCATGTATGCCAGAGAACAGAAATTTTTCCATTTCCATGAGAAAAGCTATTCTTGAAAGTCCCTATGTAGTCATCAAAAAGGTTAGCAAAATACCAAAATTTAACAAAAGCAAAAAAAAGAAATATCTCAGTTTTCCTGAAAACAAGTCCAAACCTCCTACTCAGAAAGAATCTCTGCCAAATTACAGCACAAAATGGTCCCATGATGAGAATCTTCAAAAGCAAAAGTGAAGTTTTAGCTTGCACAGAAAAAAAAAAGGGAGTCAGAGAAAACTTTCACATGATAATCTGGAAAAGAAAAAGTAACTTCAGCCAGAAGGTACATAAATCATAGCAAGTTTCCTTGTCCTAGGGCTCACTTTACTATGATCTACTTTAATAATGCTGTGTTTAATAATTCACCTTAATTCATAACTCAGACCTGAATGCATTGGGAATCTGATTCAGATCCAGTGTGAGAACATGGAAATACTATGTCATAATGCAAAATTAATTAAAATGAAAAAGTGTGGATCTATCAAGATTGTTAACTTTGTCTTAAGCCACCTATATTGTCACAGAAGATTCTATTTAGAACTCAATTGTTTCCTTAAAGCACTTCCCATTTAACCATTCTAAGTGAAGAAAACACATGATTTTCTATCAGGAGGAAAATGTACTTAGACAAAATCAGCAGAAAATTTGTCAAGGAGAATCTAAGTACATAAAGACCAACTATGATATAAACTCTCAGATTTCCACAAGCAGTGAGTTTTCTTTGTATCAATCTCTCAAGAGGTAGCAGCTTGGGTAATTCCCTATTTCTGACCCATCTCATTCTGGCCACAAATAATATCCAGATTTTTATAATTAATTTGTCCAGTAATTAAAGTACTCTCACAATTAAATTAAACTCAGAGCAGTTATTTCCAGCTTGTACTTAATGTAAGTTTGTTCCTTCTATTGTGTATCAGAAGTGAGGCTTGTGTTCTCTTAGTATTTTGGTTTCTTCTCAGTACAAATGGATCTTTTAAAAAACATTTGCCTTCTCTACAAACCCTCTCCCACTTGTATCCCTATGTAATGGGTACAACATTGCTTTAAGGACTTATGTTTACAGTTTTCCCGTGGTTATCTGTTAGTGGTTATGGACTGTTCCTGAGTCTCTGAAGATGAGGTAAAAAAAGAGGAAGTCAGTTAGAGGAGGTTTGAATTCTTAATGCATAGTCTGTGTTTCCACCATCCCAGGAAGAGCAAACCATAAAAAAGTTGAACACTTGGGGTTAGCTAATGCTTGTCCATTGCCAGCTGCAACCCGGGTGCACTCATGGCAACTCCTTCCAAGAAACCTCCACACGGCAGCACCTGCCAGATGTCCCCCAGACTGTGCAAGAAATCTGTGCATGTGCATGCAGCCCAACACACAGACACAGACGGAGAAAGGCAACAGCAAGCAACAAGGAAGGTCAAAAGCACAAACACAAGAACTGGAAAGACAACTCTCTTTGGGAACCTCCAGAAATTTCCTGAGGCTGGGTACAGACCTGTGAGCAACTCACAGAAGAGAGGCAGAACACAGACAGCTAAAGCAAGAGAACCATTGTGACAGCATTGTTACCTGAAATTGCAATTGGGCGTGTCTCAGAGCCTGTCTTTGGGGTTTGGATACACACTCCTTATGAACTTCACTTATTTACAGTATTGCCAGCAGTTCAAAGAATTTCAGTTTTATTTTGAAACATGACAAGTTTCATTCTTTCACTTACTGAAGTTGGATAAAGTGACCCATTAATACCTAAGGCATTATTATGTTATTTTAGTGAAAGTATTAATCCGAAGCCACTGAGGAGCACAGTCTGCTGGTATGCACGCTGTGAGCCCAAGCAGGGGAGTAGACAGATGTCTCCCTAAGGACAGACTCTTTTGCATTCCACATGGAATTTTTATGTACTGTAGTCTTTTGTCACCGACAAACAAGAGTTAGAATTTATACTCTCTTTCCTGAATTGGACGAAAGAAAAAAAGAGAAAAGAAAGGAAGGAAGGAAGGAAGGAAGGAAGGAAGGAAGGAAGGAAGGAAGGAAGTAAGGAAGGAAGGAAGGAAGGAAGGAAGAAAGAAAGAAAGAAAGAAAGAAAGAAAGAAAAAGAAAATCTTAAGGACAGTCTCAAAGAACACTACTAATTTTTTTCCATATTTTCATGTCAAGACTTTTTTTATTTTTTGCTGCTTTGTGCTGAACTGTAATACGGAAGGTTGCTGAAGCCTTGTCTTTACCTCTCCTTGCCTTTGGCTAGATGACAAGGCACTGTTCTGGATTTTTCTAAATTTGTTTCTTCTGCATGGCAAAATATAGGATTTGTGATTCTGTCGGTTAAATGTAATTCTTTAGCCGTTAAACCAAAGAGCAAACCAGTTTGTATGTGGGAGTGTTAACAAGACATGCAAGACACTGATTGGTTAAACTCAAGCTGAATTCAGATTCCCTGTGGATGCTGGCTGGCTGCCTGGAACAAGATTCCTTGTAAGAAGGTCTCAAGGTGTTCCCTGCTGCCTCCCGGTTCAACCAAAAGACATAGCTGGAGGTTGCTGAGCTTCACCTGCACTGTGAAGGCAGTTTTTGGATCATGTTCACTGGGTGGATTTTCCATTTTCCTGGGGAAAATCTTCAGAATTACAATCAAGTCAGCTCCAGGGTCACTCAGGCATGGTGGTTGGTGCTGTACATGGACAAACAATTTTGTCATCTCTGCCACACTGACAGCTGCTGTCCAGCACATTGTAGATGCTTGTCTAGTGATCACTGATGAGGGATTCAGTCTTACTGATCACTGATGAGGGATTCAGCCTTACATCTCACCTAGAATATGGCTGGAGCTCTGAGAGTCTGATAATCCTCACTTCCCCATTCACACATTGCTTTTCTTGACTTTGACTTTCCCTGACACTGGAAAAAAACATTGACCAGACTGAGATCCTCTGGATGGAACTTTCCCAAGGTCTGGGTCCTTGAAACAGTTATTGATAAAATTTTATAGCTGTGTTCGACTCTATTCTCAGCAAATGTCATAAAAGTAGCCTTAATGCCAAGGGATATCAGGTTAGCTTGCCCTGGTGAGCGACAGCCCAGATGTGTAAAAGTTGCAGATATGGATGGGATGGATGCAAGTGGCATCTGAGAATGATAATGCAGAAGCTTCAAAAGTGTCTTGCATCCAGTTTAGCATGCAGCAGTATAAAAGAGACACAGTGTATATACAACCAAAGGCTTTTGGCATGAATTCTCTGTAAGTGTAATGAAGTTACAGACATTTTAAGTATCACTTTAAACCACAGAGCTGATGTGAAATATTCCAGAAGAACTGGTGTTCTAATAACTAAACTAAGCATTTAAAAATAAATACAAAAGCATGAAACACTTTCTGTGTGGTATTTGGTCCCTGAGAGGTTGCAAACAGGCTGGTTTTGTCTTTATTTTCTGGTTCTGCAGACTGTGCTCTAAAAAAAAAGAACTTGTCTCAGAGTCCAAGAGCAAGTCATCTGTAAAGTTCATTTTAATGATGGAATGCAGATTGTTGTTCATTCATTTTCTATATATGTTCTGCTTATCTTCACAAAGGTAAACACCTCTGGAATGCCACTATTAAAATATTTAGAATGCTATTTCTAGTCATTATTGCCTATGATCTGACTGCTTTGTTTACATTAAATTTCTATTTGCTAAGGAAATCAGAAATTTCTAAAGCGAATGTCATGTAAATCAAATAAGCTGGAGTAATAATTTAAACATTCTCATATTTGAGGAACTCCTCTTGAGTGAAAAATATAAATTTTCTAAATTTTCTATTACTCAGACTCCTCTTTTAGTTTTCCTGCATTGTGACTCAGAATTTTTTATAAACAATGCTTTCATATCACAACCATAATTTTATTGTATTGGACAAGGTTTCTATTGGAAAAGGGGCAAATGTAATTATGTTCTTTTAAAGAGTCTTTTAATCACTCACTCCAAGCTCTGGGTACATAGTTATCATTATAAATCATACCTTTCATAAGTAAAAAATAGCTACACAATAACAAATTGATTCCCCATCCTTTAAATAGTACCTCTCGCTCTCAACCCCCAAAGCTCAAAAACTGATGAGTTTTGCAGAAGACTTCCCTCCTTCAATAAAATTGATATAATAGCTCCCTTTAGTCCATGGCAGCTGGGCACATGGCTGGATGAAAAGAGTGGTGTCTGCTAGATTCTTTCCTTTTGTTGCCAGCTCTTCTAGGTGTACTGCAGCACTTCAACAAATGAGGAAATCCTGGAATCTCTTCACCTGACTGTGGATTTCTATTACTGAAATAAACAGACTGTCCCACACACTGGTACCAGCCCTTTCTTTTCTGAGAATTCACACTGTTTAAGCCAGCAATGATGAAGATCAGCAGAGAGGAAAGGAAACGCCCTGTCCTGTTCTGTGCCCTCCTGGCTATCCACTAAATGCAGCACTAACAGTCTTCATGCTAGATTCCTTTTTTTTTTCCCTTTTGTTTTCCACTTACAATATTAAGAGTTTTTCTGGTTTAACTGTGCTCACAGCCCATAGATGTCTCTCCAGGTATACAGGAATTTGTACACCCACATAGTTCACTGGTATTCCTCCAGGAAAACCCTGGTCTGAATACCTTGCACTTTGAAATCTACACAAGTATGCTCACAAAAGCATACATATCTTTCCAATCAATGCAGTTGTGCTCCACTTAAGGTACCCTAAAGGTGTTCTACAAATTATTTCTGACTGAGTGAAGCAAGCACAAAGAATGAAATCTCTTCTGAGCTTTGATCTGATAACTCAATCCCCACAGGTGTCAGAAGGACTGATATGCAATTGTTTTTGAACTAAGTTATGTACAGGAATGCCCTTTGCCTCACTGGGATTATCAGTAAACCTCAGGACACAAATATAAAAATCTTCCTTTACCTGCAAGCAAGCAGAAATACCGTGATATACCATAAGGATGTTATAGTCTGTGCATGGAAGGCTACAATGGAACAACCTTTCTGAGCCTGAGCAGAGGCACACAGAATCCACCACCACATTTTAATACAGTCGGGCAGTCATGAAACAGGTAGGGTCTCAGAATTCACTCTATCAAAAATTGAGGTAGGATACAAATAACACAGGCACTTGAATTCTGAAAGATACAAAGGAAGGAAGCTTGAAATATTTCAGAATTGCTTTTACCACTCAGATTCACTCTGGGGGTTTCTAAATTACAAAGAAACTTTCCTATTAAATACTCCTCAGTTGAGCAATACTCTTCCTAGGTTACCTGTCTTAGCTATTCACAGTGCCCTGAGCAGCACAGCACTTTATCAGTCCTGCAGGACTACTGTAACATAAGGTTTTATTGACAACTCGTTACCCAGAGATGGCACTGGGCATAGAGGCATGCTGGTCAGATTCTTGAAAGCCAATTAGTTACACCCCCAAAATCAGTGATGTGCACATCTGAGGATCTGAGAAAATGACTGCCTAAGATCATTGCAGGTGTTAGAGAGTGCTGCAATTAGGATTTCCCAAGTCAAAGTTGGTGCCTAAGAAATGGATCTTTATCATCAATGTCTATTACTTGAAGGTAACCCTTTAGTTCCTGTGAAAATAATTTTATGTTTATTTCAGTCAAACTCAAAATTAATAGATAAGAACAGCAAATCTGAGTATATAAACAAGTTACTCTGTGTCAGCAGCTTTCTAGCAAACATCTAGCCTTGTTTCTTAGCCTCAGCTAAGTACCAGGCAATTCCAAGTATCTTACCTCCCCAGCAACAGAAATATAAGCTAATTCAAATTTAACCTAGAATAAGTCTTGACAAAGAAAACCTTTTCCTTAGGCAGTTTCCTAAATTCACAGCTGATCCTACAGTTTTGCAGCCCATCCATATGGTCAGGCTGTGACTGCAGTTTCTACAGTCTTGGAGAGCCTGATGAGGGGAACAAACTCAGTTTGGGGTAAGAGACTGCATTTGTCAGGAACTTCTTAAGCACTTACCAGGCGTGTTTTGTGATTTCAGTCAGATGAGTGCAATGCTTGTGTGTGCCTTGGCCTGCTCAGTGGAGGTATGAGGTGCCAAACTCCCAGTGGTGATTGGTCTCCAGAGAAGAGTCAAGCAGCTAAATACTCTTCTGTCGATGTAAACCTGAGCTACCAAATGGAGTCCTTGTGGTCTACCCCCTGGCTTAAAAAAACATGAACTGAAAGTTGTCACATATGACACCTAATTTTGTCAAAGTCTGCCTCAAAAGGACTCAGCCTTCACTTTATCAAAAAGGCTTTTGCCAGAAACAGCAGGTTAGAAACTGGAATAAAATGAATCAGAATATCAAGAAAGAAGTGGTGCTTTTTTCACAGTGAATTAATAATTGCCATTTTCAGAGCTGTTGGAACATTACCAAGGATAAAAGACTAACACAAAGACTGCTACAGAGAGACCCTCTTTCATAACCCTAGTAGGAGCAAGCATCTAAAGGAGAGGTTGGATGCATTTACTGGATGTACTTTAGCAAGTTTAAATAGAGAAACAGTGAAAGAACTTTTATAACAATTTATATGAGCTCAACAGTGATTGCATTTTAACAGCTGCCCTTGGTCCTCTGGGCCACTGCAATCTAATGGAGTCAGTTTTCTGCTGAAAGAAACGATTAAATTGTTCTCATAGAGTCCTTGAAAAGGTGTCAGTATGGGCAGCTGGAAATTTAGGATCTCACAACTTCAGCTTTGGAAAAAAAAGTCATCACTGTTTTACATTCCCCTATGGAGACCAAAAATGAGAAGTTAAATTCTGCCAGAATCCAGGCATTTTCTACAACCAGACACACATTTAACTTCAACAAATTGGAATGCATTATTTTCCATGTAAGTTTTGACTGATGCTATGTGACATTTATCCCATGTGTAGAGCCATAGGTCCCCTATGATCAGCTGTGACCTTTATTCAGCATAGTATTATATTTTTCTCTAGAGTTGTACATTGCTCCCTGCTGAAACACAGCTACTGCTGTGGGGAGGTGGAGAGACTTGGCTATGGTTTGGAGGGTTCTGTGGAGCAGGAAAAGGACCCAAATTCTATTTTTCACTGAAACCCCAGGAGACACTGAAGTGATCATTGACTACATTGCATTATAGCTCAGTTTAGAAGGCTAATGCTTGGGTTGTAACAAAAAGCACCTTAGGGCCTTTGCTCATGGGACTCTCATCTTACTCAAAAGGCATGTGACAGCACACAGCATGCCAAAAGCAGACTGTGATGACAGATTACCCCATAGTATTTGCTGTTTGGGAAGTTACTTCATCCTTAACTAGTCTTGGACTATCTTTAACAAAATTGGAATTTGAGGGAAAAGACTATCACAGACAGAAGTTATTTCAGCTGCAGAAGAAACCCCAATAATTTGTAAACTTTTGTGATAGGCAATCATATATCTAGGACTAGATAATACAGTGTCTGTGTTTTATTGATAATCATTTTATTTCCTTTCAGTCATAACCAAAGATACAAATTCTGAAATACCACAATACATATGATGAAAAGAGAAGAGTGAATAAAATTAAATATGTTCTCACCAAAGGTACAATAGACCATATTTAATACAGAACCTTTCCTTGAAATTTTTTTTTCTGCAAATAAAGTAGATTGTACCTCATTAGAACTCAGTATAACATTGGATACAAATGCACTTTTTAGCTCAGATGGAAAACTCTGTATTATATCTTTAGGTTTAGATGTCTGAGTTAGGTGAAAAAAACAACTACTTAAAAGAGGAGGAAGGAGTAGTAGGCAGTACAAGGGAATTTCCAAAAGCAGCTCCTTAGGGACTGTTTAAGCACAGTGTCCCATCTGTGCTGTTGACAGAAAGAGCCTGGCACAAGGTTCTGAGCCATCACAAACACAGAGTAGGGGATGACTTCTGGGACTGGAGTAACAGAAATGGTGTAAAGTCAACAGCAAAAAATGAAAGGTCCTGAATACAAACACAAATAAAAGGAATTCATTCTATAAACTGTGAAATCACAAGTTGTTAAAGACCTAAAGAAAGAGTGCAATGTTCAATAACAGAATGAGTAAGACTCTTAGTGTGATGCAATGGGGAAAAGACAGATTAATCCAAGCGTTCTCTGGGAAAATGTTTCCAGAGCTGAAAGAAGTCAACCTGAGCTGAAATCCTGCATACTTCTGCCATTCTCCTTTAAGAAAAATATACTTTAAGTACAAAAGGAAATGAGAGAAAAATGGGATGACAAGAGGATGTATCAGAGGATGACCAGAGAGTGTATCCTGAGCTGACAGAACAAGCATTGAATGAGGAATAGTTACATGGGACTTGTTTCCACCCTGTCCAAATGAAGACATGCTCATGCAATTAAATATTTCTAAGAATATTTTCTGTTCTTCCTGCAAATACAAAAAACTATACGAAAAGACAAAGAGATTTTTGTTGTTGTTGTTGCAGAAAAGATACAAAATCTGAAGAGAAAACAAATATAAAATTTTCATTAAGGAGATGCTGAGGTCTTTTGCTGTTCACTGTGGTTCTGGTCCTTCTTTCCTGATGCACACTGCCAAACAAAGGCCTGATGGTTTTCTATTCATGCCAGCCACAGAACATATGTTGAAAAATTTTTTAGTAAATTTTTTCCTTTAGTTGAAATATTGCAAACAATGTATTAATCCAGTTTGAATTTTCTTTAAATGTAAAGTGACAAGAATAGAGGTGATTGCAAAACATGTATATGGAAAGCAAAAATTTTACAATTCCTTCCACTCCTGTTGCATGTACTGATTATCAAATTAAGAAAGATCTTGGATTTAACTTTGGAATCAGAGGTAAAGCAAACAACAATGGCATAAAAATACTATGCTTGGGTTGCTAATAAGTAACATAGTAGTCTGCAAGAATTTTTTTTCAAGAAGGCAAGGAGATGAGTTTCTTTTTAGTAAAGTACAGTGTAAAGTACAATGTCTTGTAAGTCAAATATAAAAGCAGTGAAGAGAAGAACCTTATTTCAGTTGTGCAAAGAAAAATTCTGGAAGATAAATGAAATTGGTAGCAACATTGTCCTACTTTGTCACCATTTTTGACATTTTTTTCCTTTTATTTTTAGAAATTATTTTTCTGTATGAACTCATTCATAAACACCAACTAGTATCAGTGTACTAGAAAAACTATATAGCATCCTTATCTGAAGTACCTCTGTATAATAATTTCTTTGCAACATTGTAAATCCTAATCTGATTTATTTGCAGATTTCAAACTGAAGGCAAATGCACTCATATATAAATAATGTATAGTATGTTTTCCATATGGGTAAATAATATTTAGAATATATTAACTGTTACTAAATGTGAAATAAGTACATACTGCATATAAAAATTATTTTAACCTTTTTTTCAAAATTTGACAGAGAACAAGAAATCATGATTTTTTTTTTTTTTATTGACAAATAGCTTCTAAATGAATGTGTAAAGATATGTAATCACAATGCCTAGAGGAAAAGAAGTCTATATTCCTACTATTTTTAGAATTCCTCTAAGACTGGCTTCCTCAGCAAGAGGAGGACTTAGGGACTGTGCAGAAGCACAGATTCTGGCAGGAATCCTAGACATGTAGATTCCTTGAATCACAGTGTGCTCAGTAAAGATCAGGTGTCAGTCTTGGATCAGCTTCTGGTCTTAAGAGTCCTCAGGAAACTTGAAGAGGTTCTAAGAATTCTAGTGAACAGATAAAAGCAGACTTCACAGATGGTCTCTGCTGTCTGGACCTTCTCTCCCCTTTTGTGATACCTAGCTGGCTGTGGCAAGAAAGGTTTTTATTTTGGAAATTTTTGAGGATATGGTATATGTCTAAAACTGTGGCTTATCAATCAAAATAAATTAGAAATTTTCTATAAATTTTTTAAGACTCTTTCTGTAGATGCTAAAAAGAATATTAAAGTACTTCAGAACAAGCACCTCTGTATATCATTGTTATAAATATATAGAAAAAGTCTCACTTCTTTTTTGAAAACAAAACTTATCAAGAAAATGAGTGAATGAGCAAAGCAATTCTGACAATATTTAATGTTTATTCTTCCTTTATATTTCTCATGTTTCATAAAGATTCACTCTTTCATCTACATGAAGAGATGTTCTTTCCTTAGCTAGCTTTCCATCAGAAATTCACCTAGCTTTCTTCAGGTTTCTAGTCCCAAACTAGAACAGCATGTCTAGCTAACACCCCAATTGTCTCATCACATCAACTCCTTTGGAAGCATAGCCCACTGCAAGTGCTGCACACTTCACTGCTGAAGCATTTCAACCTGGAAGACTTAGATATCTGCTTGGTTAGGGAAAGGTTTTCTTGCCTCTCCACCTAGGAGGCAAAACTGAATGAAAGGTGGTAAGCCATAGTTTTCCATAAAAGCAGATCATTGTTGGCTTACTATTTTCCATAGCATAATTTCCAGTGGAATTTTGCCTGCTGGACTCTTTGAAGACTACTTTGAGCACTGTGGAATTTAATTTTATTATTTATTTTATTTAATTTTATTTATTTTATTGTGTATTAATTTGAGGTTGATTTGCACATTATATATGTGGGGTCACATCCCTCCTGCTTTACATGTTGATCCAGCCCATTGATTCATGCTACTTTTTCCAGCTCAGGCAAGCCAGGAATTAGGAAAAGACAGCCACTGCTTGTAGACAGCCGGAATTTGTCTACAACTAATGGAAGTCTCATTCCAGAAGAGTGTTTGTGCAGGGAGATGGTGTAATACTGCCTCAGTTAATTGACATTCTACCATTTCCTTATTCTCATTCTGGTACTGGTCACCAAGGCACAAGCTGTTCTTGGCCATGGGATCCCGTACCATTGCATTTTGACACATGCCAGCTCAGATTTACACAGGGAAATCTTTGTGGTTAGAACCTGAATTTCTGTGGATTAACCTACCACTATATTTAAATCAGTGGAAACCAAAACCGTACTCCTCATGCCTGTGGGGAGAGAATAACACACATCTTGATTTGGTTGCCTTTGTAATAACCATAGTTCCTTGCAGGCTTACGAAGAAAAACAGACACCTCATAATCTTGC